TAGTGCGCTGTTTGCTAAGCAAGAGGTCCATAGTTTGATCCTCAGTGACTTCACACACTTGTTTTAAGTACCAAGTGTGGCTTGGTTGGTTAGTGTGCTGTTTGCTAAGCAAGAGGCCCTTAGCTTTAAATACCCTTAGCATACAGCATTACCGCCATTTGCATTGCCACCCCAAACACAAATCGAGTCATGTAGTTTGCAATAGACTACCGTCAATCTTCATGTTGATGCCATGTATACACGTTTGGATCAGTGAGTTGGCTTTTCTATCAAACTTTCTCAGTCAGATATCACGAAGGAAAGTTCCGAAAGCAATTGCAAAGAGTTTGAGTACATCCAAGTAGAATGAGGTGTTTGATTGACGGCAGTCTATTGCAAACTACACAACGCGATTTGAGTCTGGGGTTGCCACATAGTAATGCAAACTGAGGTAATAGAAAGAAAAAGAGGAGGGAAAGTGCGCACTGCACCAGCTTCTTGGGAGAGCGGCTTTGAAAATGATGGAAAACCTGAGTATGTTTAAGAATAATTTCTTTACCTATGATGAGAATACTCACCTGTATTAGCTCAGTTTCTTTAGCAGCAAGTTCTGTCTCTAATCTTTCATTATCATCATTAAGTGCCGTCACTTCATGTTGCATGCGCACATAACGCTTCTCTAGAGTCGCTATCCTGTCTTCCATGTCAGACTTTTGAGCTGCGGCCTGAAATTACAGGAAGATAGACTAAGAAACTGATGATACAAGCGCTGGATGATGTGAAATGACTTTTCTTGTGCAAGGGCATGCGTCCAAAAAATTGAAAACTAGCTAAAACTAGTGATAACAGTGTAAATTTTACACTGTGAACTGATGTTTTGGACGCTAGTCCTTCGTTGGAGTAAAAGAGATTTACCCTTTTATTCAGTGTCCATATTAACAAGCTGCAGCCCTGATCTTCTACCCCAGGAGGAGTGACCTGCTTTAAACAGGCACTCTACTAGCATGAGTACTGTCTCTTGCCCCTTCAGTGTCCATATTAACAAGCTGCCGCCCTGATTCTCTACCCCAGGAGGAGTGACCTTCTTAGTGTTAACACCCAAGAATGGGTACTGTCTCACCTCATCAAGGTCTCTCTCTAGTTTCTGTATCTGATTGGTGGCTCGTTCCAGCTGTTTGTTGGTAATTCTTACATCTTCTTCTAATAACGTTGCTTTTTCTTTGAATTCTCTACTTTCTCTAGTCATCTGTGCACGACAAGAAACAATATAAATAGTTAAAACCATGGAGGGGTAGGTGGGGAATTGCTTGGTTCATCAACTTCATATTTTTGGGTGATAAAGATTTCCCCCCTACATTATTATATCCTATACAGCGGGTGGCTAAATTGCAAGCACTAGCTTCTTTAGCCACCCTTCGCAACTACATATCACTTGTTTAATAAGTATATGCAATAGGACTTCATGCTGTCCAATCAAGAAATAATTGGACGAGGAAAATTCTGACTGACAAAATTGGATGATGCCGTAGGCTGAGTCCAATTTTGCAGTTAGAGGAATTTTTTGAGTCTAATTATTTCTTGATTGGGGAGCATGAAATCATATTACCTATTAATTATATAGCTGCCTAATTAATCCCATATCAACAAGACCTATCCAATTAAGAAAATAATTGGGCAGTTACCTATATGGGATTAATGAGAAGATGTATAATTATAATAATAACTCTTGTAATTTTCTATCATTATATTATGCGTAAATAAAAATGAAGTGATTATTTTATTTCATTAACTGTTCCTCTGACAGCATAGACACCACAACAGCTTTTGGCAACGTGTAATTCCAGAAATTATCCATACCACCACGGATGAATGTTTTTAAAGGCCCACCCCCAGGAATTCCAATTTTCTTCCATACAAACTCTGTAACTTTGTTCTTTCTCCAAACCCCCTCCACTACCCCTCTGAAATTCCAAATTCCTCTGGGNGGGGGGGGGGGGGGGGGTGGCTGTAGTATTAGCACAGGCACTGAAGATTGTCTTCACCAGGGTCTTCAGTGGGTCTTTTACGTCTGCATTATATGTATTATACAGGGTTAGATAGTGAAGACACTGATGGGACCTATGGAAGTACTTTTTAAAACTGTACCCTCTATCAGCAAATAACAAGCCCTTGCTTTATAATGGGTCTATAGTCTGCACCCTTATCAGTGTCCAAGGGTCTTTTTGATCTGTTATCATACTGAACATTCTTTCATCTCCAAACATCTAACACCAGGTTAAGGTCAAGCATCCTTATCAAGGCTTTAATTTTACATTCTTAAACCTCCAGTCTAATTAATAGCTCAAAAGAGTTCTACACTTGTAACATAAAACTAATATTGAAGAGGTATGACAGCCAAAACACAGGGAAAACACTTTGTGATAATATTTGAAAAGTTATAAGTCCAGGGGGGGGGTATTCCAATTTATGGTCGCGGTGCGCAAAGGCTCGTCCCTGCATTAGTGCTCTACTCCCATAACGCATTTCACGCTAGCTTTCTATGAGCATAAGAAGCGACTGGGTACGAGTCTGGGTATGCAGCGGTATGTCAYAATAAACTGACTGCTTATCATTAGTCTTTCCTGTAGCTCAGTAGCAGAGCATAAACTCAGTATCAGGAAGGTCATGGTTTGATTTCCATCAGGGAATCTGAATTTTTCAGAGTTGCCCTTTCAGTTGGTGACAAAATATAAATAACTTCCATAGGTTTAATAGCATTGTAGGGTTTTAGTAGTGCAAATAAGTATTTGAATAGAAGATATAATTACAGTGTAATTGCTATTACAGTATTTGTCGTGCAAATATATTTTGAGGGGGAAAAGGGAAAAGAAAGGAAAGAAAAGGGAGGGAAGGGAAGGGAAGGGAAGAATGAACAAATAAAATGAATGAAAGAAAGGAATAAAGGAATGGAAAGGGAAATATAATAAAATAAAATAAAATAAAACAAAATAAAATAAAACAAAATAATAAAATAAGGTATCTGAAGCTGTGTTTTTAATTTTGACATCTTTATTAATAGAAAATATAATTAAAAAGAGATAAGGATTTGGAAACCAAAAATGATGAAATATGAAAATAAAAAGAAGAAAGTTTAATTCAATAATTGTTTTCTTAACGAGGAACAAGGGACAATTATTGTGACATGGAAATGTGTGCAAGATGAGAATGATCAGACTTATATTAGTTATTCATAGAGAAATGAAGTTCAGATCATTAATAATGAATAGTGTGGTTAGTGGAGAAAAATAGAAAATTCACTAATGATATTTTTAAAGAAAAGAAAATATTAGAAGTCTAGAGGATTGAAAATTGAGAAAGATTGGAATTTTAAAGGGGTGGGGAGGGTCTGAGGAGGTTATATTGTGTAGTACCAGAAAATATCCATACCTCCCCCACAGAAGGAGATTGGAAATTCCAAGGGGTGGGGAGGGTCTGAGGAGGGTATATTGTGTAGTTCCAGAAAATATCCATACCTCCCCCATGGAGGGGGATTGGAATTTCCAAGGGGTGGGGAGGGTCTGAGGAGGGTATATTGTGTAGTACCAGAAAATATCCATACCTCCCCCATTGAGGTGGATTGGAATTTCCAAGGGGTGGGGAGGTTCTAAGGAGGGTATATTGTGTAGTTCCAGAAAATATCCATACCTCCCCAACAGAAAGAGATTGGAATTTCCAAGGGGTGGGGTGGGTCTGAGGAGGGTATATTGTGTAGTACCAGAAAATATCCATACCTCACCCATGGAGGGGGTTTGGAATTTCCAAGGGGTAGGGAGGGTCAGAAGAGGTATATTGTTTCTCAACGCATTCCTCTGAAAATTTCCACTTATTTCCTAGCAATAACTTTATCATTGTTCACTTTCCGTTCTTGAAAAATGGAGTTAAAATTACTGCAAAACCTTAACTAGTTTTAATTACGTTAATATTGGATAGAAATAATAATAATCCCGTATCTAATTCAAAGACTTCTACTCGCTAATGCACTTTCCTATTTTTGTTATTTATAAAAAAATATTTTTTCGAGAACTGTTAACTGATTGCACATGTACTGTATATTTCTTCCTGTAAAGTTCATTTGTAAGTGTTAATCTGCCAATGACATTTCACACCTCAACATATGAATAATGAAAGAGTAATGCCTGGTCTGGACACCATCTTTATGAGCATAATTGTCTTCCAGACAGTTCATCCTAAATGTGTTAATGAATTTGGCTTTGCAGCTGTCTGTGGTCTATCCCAAAATAAATAAAACTTTACGAATTCATAGAACCATGCTGATTATAAAATAAAATATAATATAAAATACAGAATCATGTCATTCATTTATTCATTAATCTAAGGGCTTTAAGATCAAAAAAGAAAAAATTCTTCAGTTTCCAGTTCTCTGTTGCTCAGGATTAGCCTCGATTTAATTTTTGTTCTTTCTCTGACCCCCCTACTCTTTGGAAATTCCAAATTCCTCTGTGGGGTGGGTATGGATGATTTCTGGAACTACACAATATTCACGTGTTCCAGTGAAGGTCCATGAAATTTCAAAGTGTTTGTAATGTTGAAGTTGTGCATTCTTTACTTTACCGTTGGTATTTGTGAATATTTAGACACTGATACGAGACTAACCCTGAGTAAATGAGTC